GGGGGGGTCTCTGTTTTGCTTATTTCGGATGATATGGGGGTAGGGGAGTCTAGATTATGATTACGTCATCGGTAGTTATTCACTTTTTTAAACGAATGACAACCCTCATATTGAAATTATTAATTAAAAGCAAAGACCGACAAAGTACGAGACATTATGATATTTGGAGAATATTAAAATTACAATATAAAAAATATTAATTTAAAATGTTTACGTAAGCAAAGGGGGAGGGGGTAAGATCTTTGCTTACTTTTGCTGACAAGGGGGTGGGGGGGGGGGTAAATAATTGCAAAAATCTGCTTACGTAATATTTGAACGGCCCCTTATGCTATAAATGACATCTACTATCCTTACTATTATAAATGGGAAAGTGAGTTTGTTTGTTTGTTTGTTTGTTCCGACTTCACGCCGTAACTACTAAACCGATTGCATTGAATTTTTGCAGACGTAAAGTTAGTAGTCTGGATTAAATAATAGGGTACTTTTATCCCGAAAAAATTTGATATTCCCGAGGGAAAACAAAAGTATTGGTATAGATGGCGCTGTATGTATTGGTATATGTCACATAGACTACTTTTTATCCTTTTGTGACGCGAGCGAAGCCGCGGGTATAAGCTAGTATAAAAATAAGTCGGGTTTTCCTTCCTGACGCTATAACTCCAGAACGCACGAACCGATTTCCACGGTATTGCATTCGTTGGAAAGGTCTCGGGCTCCGTGAGGTTTATAGCAAAGGAAATTCACTAATCACCAAACGAAATGTTTCATAAAACGAAGCCATCTGGTGGCGAAACGGGGTTCGCCGGTTTTGCTAGTTTTTTTATATATTTGATGGGCCGACCTTTGACCGCTATCTCGGCTGGTGGTAACCGATGATGCGGCCTACGATGGAGCACGTCGTCCCATAAGCAACCTATTCACTCGGGCCTTAAATTTAGGTGATACTCGACTGAGAGAATACAAAACCTAATATAATATTTAGGAGTCTTTATATCACTACATAGTATAAACCAAAGTCACTATCCGCCGTCCGTCTATCCCTATGTATGCTTAGATCTTTAAAACTACGCTACGAATCTTGATGCGATTTTTTTAATAGATAGACTGATTCTTAAGGAAGGTTAATATGTATAATACATGCATATTGCACCCGTGGGAAGCCGGGGCGGGTCGCTAGTTTATAACATTTTAAAATCAATGACTCGACTTTGACTGTTTCAATCGCAAACATTTTTTTATGACTTCTCTCGCTTTGGGTGATGCGGGAAAGAGTGTCAGACTCTTACTGACTAAAAACCACCCCGTTCCTACTCCTGCAATTCGAGCCGGAGCCCCGGCAACCCGTCAAGCCTTATTGGGCCTCATCCGTGGTGGTCTGATGGCTCTTTGAGGCGCGCGCGAAATGTAACGCGCCACACGCTCGGGTCTGGTTCTGGTCGGGCGGCGGGCTACCCATGCTCGCCGTCCGCAGGCCCGTACAGTTTTTGGACATTAGACTTTTTCCCACGGGAACGTAAGCGACATTGGTGGCAGAGATTAATAATAATTAACTCGTCGAGTACCGGTTTTGTAGACACAATTATAGAACAATAGGTTGCGGTCACCGGTGACCGCTTGGTGTTTGACAGTTTAAAATCAAACACCAATATCGAGTGTGGACTCTGCTATCATTGTGCCGATAGTCGTTTCGGCCAATAAGTTAATCCCTAAAAGCCTCGACATCCATCTCAGGAGGCTGGCGTCAGGTGGATGGATCAAGGGCCTGATACAAAGGGCAGTTCTTCTAGAAACGGCACGTATCGTAAGAAGGTTTCTGTCTTTGAAGCCCTAACCACCGGTAGCTTGGACCATGCTCCCGCTACTGGTCGGCTCCTATTTTTTATATATACATATATATTTAAATATTATTTTTTATTTTGTTAGTAGTATTTAAAAATGTAATTTAATAATGTTTTTTGTGGTTTATTGTAATTATAGGGGTATAAATAAGATACACAATTGTTTTTGTTTTTTTTTAAATTAATATAATTAATAAAAAAGTTAGTGCACTTAGGTTTCAGCGTGGGCTATGTGAAACTCTGAAATCTATAATAACGTATTCAAGTACTAAAAGCTGTCAAAAGATGTCGCTACTAGTTTTAGCTTGCTATGATTTCATAGGTGCACATATGTGTACGATCACAAGAGGTTATAGAGAATTTTAAATAAATATATGAAACTAAAATCCTATTCTCCCCACAGAATCAGAGCTAAAAGAGAGTCAAGCAGCGTTAATACTCTGTCGCCATGAACGAGACGAACTAGATCGCAAGCTGACATCTATGACGCAACAGTTGGACACTTGTGTGAAGGAAAGAGACAACGCTACTGCCGCGCTCGCTCGCACTAGCGCTGAGGTTAGTGACGTCATCATGTATACACCGTAACGTCTATATCGTTTTCATCCCGCGGTAGAACGACTTGCCATAAGTACTTTCGTTGTATAAAGTAAAAACAAAAGATAAAGATGTCGTTTTTTTAGTTTATTTTTTTTTAATGGAAATACGCACATGAAACACTATACTCGGAATTTTAATTCCATTCCAGATTTGACAATTTCAGTGTTGCAACGTTATGACAAGTACTAAATAGTGACGTTGTGAAATTATTCGATATGGAAATGCAATATTTCTGGATCGATTCTTCTCGTTTATAATTTTACTCTCGTAAACTAAGTATATCTTTAAATTAAATATTTCTGAACCGATAATTTAGTTTTGACGTTTAATTAACGATCTGAGACTTTTCTTTTATAATTGTGTGTGAAATAAATAAAAAAATGTAATCATGAAGGAACATGACTAATAAAACAGATAGATGTATTATAGTAATAAGTTATTTCATAAATTGTCGCCGTCATCGCTATCGCTATCCTGTCACTTTCTGTAACATTTATTATAAAACACACACTGATTGTTTATCGATTTTTGTGTGCATCACTACACTATTATATGTGGGATCATTATTTCACAAAATGACAGTAGCTATTGTCAAATCTGGAATCTAATTAAAATTCTGACTATAGACGTTTTGTAGGCACTATTCGCATCGCACGCGCCACCCGACGAGAAATACCTCTTCGAGTATTACATGGCGTGATGTTCTAATAATGTACTGTGAGTTCGTATGCGCTTTCGAAGTTTGCTTTAAGCAATGGTTCACCAGTTAGTTTTTGTTTTAAACATTTTATTTCTTTGTAAAACTATTGTATTACCGAGATAGAACCATTGCTTCGGGACGAAAACGAAATAGATTTTATGGTGTATTATTTGAGTCTTTTACTAGTACTCAGATATTCAGCTTTCTTAAATGTTGAGGAAGCTAAGTGACACCTAAACGAAATTTCAAGGAAGAGGTGACTACTTTTAGTTAAGAGGTGTTTTAGGGTGAAAACGGCCATTACTATAACGTTCTTTAAGATTTCGTTTTCGTAATTACGGATCATATCTGGTTTCACTATCTGTTTTCCACAAAAACTTATTTTTATTATTTTTTTATTAAAATTTTGCCCTACATTAGGATTTTCTCCTGTGTCGTGTGTGTGTTTACAAACAAGTTCACATACACATGACACCCAGACCCGGAACAACAATCTATGGATCGCACAAAGAGTTGTCCTGCGCGGGAATCGAACCCGCAACACGTTGCGCGGCAGCCAGTTACCCAGGCACCGCGCCAACCGTGCAGTCATTATTATAATTTTTTTTTATGGCATAAGCCGTAAAGACGAGCAGACGGATCACCTGATGGTAAGCAATCGGCGTCGCCCATGGACACATCAGAGATTAGGAGTTTGAGGATCGTTGGGGATTCAGGGATTGGGGAGATTGGGGAAGGGGAGGGTAATTGGACCTCCAGTAACCTCACTCACACGACAAAACACAACGCAAGCGTTGCTTCACGTCGGTTTTCTGCTCGGCCGTGGTATCACTCCGGTCGAGCCGGCCCATTCGTACCGAAGCATGGCTCTCCTACACTTATAAAGTACACTTGTTTAATACAGGTAGAAGAATTAAAAGAGAGTAATCTGCGCTTGGAAGAAGAGGCGGCGGAGTTAGCGGCACTACGAGCTAAAGCAGCCCTAGCTGATACACTCAGCGCACAGCTCGAAAGGTAAACAATGTTCATATATACATACATAACATAACATCACGCCTTTTATCCCTGATGGGCTAGGCAGAGGTGCACATTATGCCACTCTGTACAATGTAACACCCACTTTTCACTATTTATGTTACAAGTCCCATGTAAAAGGGGGTGAGCCTATTGCCATATACCGGGCACAATTGGGATGACGACAGGGTATGAAAATTAAAAATCTAATTAGTCCGTAAGTTAGGTATTTAAAAAATATTAGACACGTATTTTTTTATTTTGTCGTATAATAAAACAATACTTAGATGAAACGAATCAAAGTTTAAGAGTGGGGGCTAAAACGTCATTTCTACGTATAAAATGTACATAAAAGTGACGTCACGCGACATTTCAAATCAATATACCGTCGAAAGTATTCGTTTCTGTAAGAAAATAAAAAATATGTGTCTAATGATTTAAAATAATCTACCAGACGGACATTAAAATAAAAATTAGTCGTCTACCCTATTCCATACATTCATACATACAAAGATACCCGAGATACATACATAAAAGCAGTCCACGATATGGCGAGTAGGATATATTGTGCTGTTTTTGGTTGAATTTTTTTGCAAATATTTTCGGTTGCAGATTTATAAGCCCGATTTCATTTTCAAACAATAACATTTTTTTTTTTAATTAAGTCTACCAATCAAAAAGCAACACGTCTACCAATAAAAAAACACACATTTTTAATAATCACTTCCTATTTCATATACGAAGTATTTTATTTGTTTGTGTAAAAAAAGGACAAAACTAAATATAAACAGAAAGTAGGCAAATGTAACTAAAATACTGGAGACGGGCAGCACTAACGCACGTTTACGTACCGCGCAGCTGTAGGTATTTAACTCTGTCATGCGGCCGAGTTACACTACTGTATGATAATGTTACTATGATATAGCTAATAGAAGGAGTCGCGGAGAACCTAACGGGTAACCGGGGCTCCGGCTCGACGTGCAGGAGAAGGAACGAGGTGGTTTTTAGTCAGTAAGAGTCTGACACTCCCTCCCGCCTCACCCAGGCGGGAGCAGTCATTCGATGATTCTGCTCACTTAAAAAAAAAAGCACGGTCACGAGATCAAAGGTGCGAGGTGTAAAGTTTTTTTTATATTAGATGGGACTGACGTTTGACCACTATCTCACCTAGTGGTAACCGATGATGCGGTCTACGATGGAACACGTCGACCCATAAGCAACCTATTCACTCGGGCCTTGAAGACACCCAGGTTATATCCTTCAGGAAATACAGACTCTGGCAATGAATTCCACTTCTTAGCAGTACGCACAGGGAAGCTTGATGCGAAACGCTTCGTGCGTGTGGGTGGATTGTCTTGTGGTACGATGATGGAAAGGACTAGGAGGAATCAAGTTGCAATTCAATCAAGTTCAATTCCCCCGCACACTCCGAAATGTATCCAGTAGAAGATTGAAAGGCTTGCAACCTTACGCCTGTGTTCGAGGCAGTTTGTTTCTGCCAGCGACAGAGGGTGCAAATGAAAACTATAATCATTAGACTAAGTTTATTATAATTAAAATTACATGATAATTCCTAAAATCTAACTATGCGCGAATGCGTTCGATGTTAGAACAACACTGCTTTCTTATCTTCAAATTCTTTATTATAAAATTAGTATGAAGGTTTTATTGAGGTTAAATCTAGTGGGGTGAACGATGATGCAGCGATTCGTAGCTGGGCACAAGGCGACGACAAGAGGAGACGACTCAGCAGTTCGAATGTTGCAATACTCCGTAGAACCTTCGTTGCATCAAAGTAGGTCTAACGTCCTGATTCAGCAGATATGCTCCTCGTGGCACGGCGTTGATCACGGTGTAGGTACATGTGTTGGCACCGATACGTAACAAGGCTTTGTTAAAATAAGTTAATAATATTAACTAACCTTTGAATAACATTGTTGTTTTGCGTCGGTTAATTGATGTGTGGGTTGCGCAGGGAGTCGTCCCGCGCGACGCAGGCGGAGGAGGCGCTGGCGGTGGAGCGCGGCGTGGCGGAGACGTGCGGCCGGCGCGAGGCCGCCGCGCTCGCCCACGCCGCCTCGCTCACGGCCGCGCACGTCGCGCTCTCCGCCGCGCACGGCCGCAGGGACGCTGAGGTGCGCCGCCACTCACTTATTTATACACTGCTCGCAAGTGCCACCGGGGTCTCGGTGCAATAGGGTCTCGGGTTTAATTTCTGGATCTGGCAAATTACTACTATTATTTATGGACTGGTCGCAAGTGCCACTGTCCGACAATGGGATCTCTGGTTCGATACTCGGGTCTGGCAAATTACTACTCTTATTTATGGACTGGTCGCAAGTGCCACTGTCCAGCAATGGGGTCTCTTGTTCGATTCCCGGGTCTGGCAAATTACTACTCTTATTTATGGACTGGTCGCAAGTGCCACTGTCCGGCAATGGGGTCTCGGGTTCGATTCCCGGTCTGGCAGATTACTACTCTTATTTATGGACAGGTCGCAAGTGCCACTGTCCAGCAATGGGGTCTCGGGTTCGATTCCCGGGTCTGGCAAATTACTACTCTTATTTATGGACTGGTCGCAAGTGCCACTGCCCGGCAATGGGGTCTCGGGTTCGATTCCCGGGTCTGGCAAATTACTACTCTTATTTATGGACTGGTCGCAAGTGCCACTGCCCGGCAATGGGGTCTCGGGTTCGATTCCCGGTCTGGCAATGGGGTCTCGAGTTCGATTCCCGGTCTGGCAATGGGGTCTCGGGTTCGATTCCCGATCTGGCAGATTACTACTCATATTTATAGACTGGTCGCAAGTGCCACTGCCCGACAATGGGGTCTCTTGTTCGATACTCGGGTCTGGCAAATTACTACTCTTATTTATGCACTGCTCGCAAGTGCCACCGGGGTCTCGGTGCAATGGGGTCTCGGGTTTAATTTCTGGGTCTGGCAAATTACTACTCTTATTTATGGACTGGTCGCAAGTGCCACTGTCCGGCAATGGGGTCTCTTGTTCGATACTCGGGTCTGGCAAATTACTACTCTTATTTATACACTGCTCGCAAGTGCCACTGCCCGACAATAGGGTCTCTTGTTCGATACTCGGGTCTGGCAAATTACTACTCTTATTTATGGACTGGTCGCAAGTGCCACTGCCCGGCAATGAGATCTCGGGTTCGATTCCCGAGTCGAACAAAGTATTACTAAGTTTTTGAAAAAAAATCTCAATAGTGACATGGAGCCTGGAATTAGAATGGTGACAGGGTATGAAAATTAAAAATCTAATTAGTCCGTCAGTTAGATAATGAAAAAATATTAGACATGTATTTTTTTATTATTTCTTGTGTGTTAAAATGATACTTAGATATAACGAATCAAAGTTTAGGAGTGGGGGCTAAAACGTCATTGTCGCGTGACGTCACTTCTCAGTACATTTTATACGTAGAAATGACGTTTTAGCCCCCACTCCTAAACTTTGATTCGTTTTATCTAAGCATTGTTTTATTATACGACAAAATAAAAAAATACGTGTCTAATATTTTCCATTACCTAACTGACGGACTAATTAGATTTTTAAATTTCATACCCTGGCAACTATTGAAATAAATGAAAAATAACACAACATCACGCCTTTTATCTCCGAAGGGGTAGGCAGAGGTGCACATTATGCTACTGTACAATGTAACACCCACTTTTTACTATTTATGTTATGAGTCCCATGTAATAGTGGGTGAGCTTATTGCCATATACCGGGCACAATTCCAGACTCCGTGCTACTACTGAGAATTTATTTTTCAAAACCCAGTAATACTTTGCCCGACCCAGAAATCGAACCCGAGACCCCTTGTCCGGCAGTCGCACTTGCGACCACTCGGCCAACGAGGCAGTCTGTGTTAGAAATAAATGAAAAATAACTTTTGAATTTTAAATTGAAATCTTTACGATACTCCAGGCGCGGGCCCTCGCCGCAGACAACGCGTCGCTCCGGGAACAAGTGACCTCCCTAGAGACAGAGTGCGCCAGGCTACAGGCTGCACTCACTGACGAAACAGACAGGAGGAACAAGGAGAACAGGGTGCTGGCCAGGAAGGTATGGTACTTAGGGTTTTTTATGGTATTTTTTTTTTGAGGGGGAAAATCATTGAATGACTGAGTAAAAACTCCCCGTTCCTTCTCCTGCACGTCGAGCCGGAGCCCCGGTTACCCGTTCGGTTCTCCGCGACTCCGAATCGGCATCGGCCGTATTGGGCCCCATCTGTAGTGGTCTGATGGCTCTTTGAGGCGCGCGCGGAACGCGACGCGCCGTACGCTCGGGTCTGGTTCTGGTCGGACGGGGAGCCACCCATGTTTTTTTTAACGAGCATACGGATCACCTGATGGTAAGCAATCGGCGTCGCCCATGGACACCTGGAACACTAGAGGCGTTACAAGTGCGTTACCGGCCTTTTGGGCATTAGGAATTTGAGGATCGTTGGGGATTCAGGGATTGGGGAGATTGGGGAAGGGGAGGGTAATTGAGCCTCCGGTAACCTCACTCACACGACGAAACACAACGCAAGCGTTGCTTCACGTCGGTTTTTTTCAGTATTTTCACTTGACTAACCCGAGACTTTTAGTTAACTCGTCGAGTACCGGTTTTGTAGACACAATTATAGAACAATAGGTTGCGGTCACCGGTGACCGCTTGGTGTTCGACAGTTTAAGCAGAAATATCTGTTACATATTATATTGTAACACGTACATATGTACGTGTTACAATATACGTATACATATTATATTGTAACACGTACATATGTACGTGTTACAATATACGTATACATATTATATTGTAACACCCATTTACAGGTAGCGGAGTTAACAGAAGAGGTGTCAGAAGCGAACAAGAAGCTGGAATGGGAGAAGGGGGAGAATAATGTACTCAAGAAGAAACACGCTAGTGCCATAAAAGTAAGTTTTTATATAAAGACTAGCTACTTCCGCGCGGTTTCACACGCTCTGCTCGGCTCCTATTGGTCGTAGCGTGATGTTTTATAGCCTATAGCCATCCTCGATAAATGCGCTATCCAACACAAAAAGAATTATTCAAATCAGACTTGTAGTTACGGAGATTAGCGCGTTCAAACAAACAAAAAACAAACTCTTCCGCTTTATATAATAGTATAAGATATAAGATTTGTTTGTTTACATTGAATAGGCTCGGAGGTTGAGGTTAAGGGTTCGAAACCTACCAACGTCAAGTACCAATGTAACTACTCCGAGTTATATGTACTTTCTAATATTATTTAGACACCACTGACAAACGATGAAGGAAAACATCGTGAGGAAACCTGCGCTTATAATTTGTAATTATAAGTTTAAAATCTTTGACTGCCTCGTTGGCTGGTCTCAGGTTCGATTCCCGGGTCGGAAAAATATTATTGGGTTTTAAAAAAATCTCTGTTGTAACACGGAGTCTGGAAATGTGCCCGGTATATGGCAATATGCTCACCCGCTATTACATAGGACTCATAACATAAATAGTGAAAAGTGGGTGTTACATTGTACAGTGGTATAATGTGCACTTCTGCCTAACCCTTCGGGGATAAAAGGCTTGATGTTATGTTATGTTATGTTAAGTTTAAAATCGCCAACCCGCATTGAGCAATCGTGGTGATTAATGCTCAAACCTTCTCCGTGTGAGAAGAGGCTATACTCAGCAGTTGCCACTTATAGGCCATTCAATCATTTATTTATGTGTACAACTGTACACGTAATATAATAAGTCTGTCTACCTATCTTACAATAAACGGCGTGATAACCTTTCCAGGAACTGAACCGTGAACTACAGCGGGCAGTGAAGCGATGCGAGCAGTTAGAAGCTAAGCTGCCTCAACAATTAGCACCGAATACAAGGACAGGTAATTTTATATTACTAGTCAACGTTATTAGATCATAGAAGACTGATGACTGACTGACTGACTGACTACCGTTTAGGAAACAAAGTCAAAGTAAAAATCATTTATTTCAATTAGACCAGAAAGGCACTTTTGAACGTCAACAATAAAATTAAAAGTGAAGCTATGAATGGCAATGCTTTTTTTTTTAAGGGGGGAAAATCATCGAATGACTGCTCCCGCCTGGGTGAGGCGGGAGGGAGTGTCAGACTCTTACTGACTAAAAACCACCCCGTTCCTTCTCCTGCACGTCGAGCCGGAGCCCCGGTTACCCGTTAGGTTCTCCGCGACTCCGAATCGGCATCGGCCCTATTGGGCCCCATCTGTGGTGGTCTGATGGCTCTTTGAGGCGCGCGCGGTACGCGACGCGCCGTACGCTCGGGTCTGTTTCTGGTCGGACGGGGAGCCACCCATGCTCGCCGTCCTCCGGCCCGCTGACGGTGGCCGGAGATCGTCCCGCGATCCCCGACGCCCGGTGTGTCCTTCGCGATGGCTGGGTTGCGAGGAGGCAGCCTCACGCGTCCCGCCTCCTCCTTGTGAATGGCAATACTTAACCTTTGCCCAAGATAGTAACCAGCCATTCGATCACCCGAAGTATCAACCATCCTCCTTACAATATAGTAAAGAATAGTGTCTAAATAGATTAAGTTTTTTTTTATGGTTGGCAACATTTCACGCATTAACTTCACACACATTCAAAATACGTTCATACAGTCCACTCATCTAGAAAATTAGTAAGAAAGCGTGTTCAATAAATATCCATTGAGTAAAGACGTATTATAAAGTTTTATTTCACCAAACAAGCTGATATAGACTGAAACAAGTGTGTACGGTTCACGTACAAGCAAATTGCTTACGCCGCGACCTACTTTTCTTCACTTACTTTATTCACCTTATAATTATAATAATTCAGTTGACCATTAACTGCCATCGAACTACAACCGCGGATAAGCATCCAATTAAACTTTCGTGTAACTTTACGAATAAACTGATTATTGGGACATCTGTGGTTTTCGTCAACTCATATATCTACAACAAATCAACTACTACTACTACTACTACTTGGCTACACCTGAACCATACAAAGTGAAACACATTTCGTAGTAAACAAATAGTAAAGAAGATGTGCACTTGGGCCCCACGGCCCTTTTGTTTTTTTTTTTTTTCAAAAGCGGGGAAAATCATCCAATATCTTCTCCCGCCTACGTGAGGCGGGAGGGAGTGTCAGACTCTTATGTCGGAATACTGAAAGGCTACTCAATTTTAAGGCGTGCTTAAGTATAGTTCTATCTCTACAAATTCTTTGTACAATGACAGAGATGACACGATATTTGAGCACGACTTAAAATTGAGTAACGTTTCAGTATTCCGGCATTACTGACTAAAAACCACCCCGTTCCTTCCCCTGCACTTCGAGCTCCTAAAGTTTCAACCCCAAACGGTTCGAAATATAAATTGGCCGAATACGATCGATTTTCAGAACCTCACTTTTTTTTCCTATTACACGGGACTCATAACATAAATAGTGAAAAGTGGGTGTTACATTGTACAGTGGCATTAAGTGCAGTAATGTGCACCTCTGCCTACCCTTTTTTTCGGGGATAAAAAGGCGTGATGTTATTCTATGATGTTATTCACTTTTTTTCCTGTCCACTTCACGTGAAATGCCCCACGCTCGTGTGATGTAGGATTTTTGTGACGTCATCCGTTGATTTGTTTTCATCGATATTATTGACGTGTCGCCACAGCCTCTGGTCGAGTGGTCGCAAGTGCGACTGCCGGGCAAATGGTCTTGGGTTCGATTCCCGGGTCGGGCAAATTATACTAGATTTTTTTTTATAAATCTCACCTTCTTTCATTCTCATTCCTAACCGAATTGCGAGCAAGGGGATTAAGTTCCATTTTCTAGTTGCGCAAAGTATTATTTGTGGTTACTGTAGTGATATATTTTTGACTTTGATTGTGACTGTGTGCAGGTTCGATTTCGTCGCTAAGTAGTGGGGAGAGCGCCCCCCACGAGGACAGACTGCAGAATGGACACAGCGACGCATTGCCTGATATACAGGTAAATAATTCATTGTAATATTATTTTATACAATAAATATACTACTGACCACCTTTAACGTCTGTCTAGCAAAGAGATTCGGGTTCGATTCCCGGATTGAGCGAATATTCTCTCAAAACATTAACGACTGCCTCGTTGTCCGAGTGGTGCAAGTGCGACTGCCGGACAATGGTCTCGGGTTCGATTCTCGGGTTGGTCAAAGTTCTACTGGGTTTAAAAACATCTTAATTGCCATATACCGGGCACAATTCCAGACTCCATTTTTTTTAAAAACCCAGTGATACTTTGCCCGATCCGGGAATCGAACCTGAGACCATTGTCCGCGAGTCGCACTTGCGACCACTCGGCCAACGAGGCAGTTATTGATAACAAAAGCATCTCTAAAAATCCCCGAGAATTGGGTACTTTCCTTAATAAAAACTAAACTATTTCGACTGTTCAATACAATACAATATAAAAAAATAATCACACTTTCATTAATTGATTTTATGACCAACTTAATTTTAGTATTTATACAGCATTTTTTTAAGAAATAAGTACTATGCTGTTTGACGTTAAAAATCTAGACGTCACAATACACAATCTCATACAAAATTCATAGAAAACTGTCGTTTTTGGCAGTTCGAAAAAATTATTGAATTTGTCTAGTTGGCAAGTACCCGATTCAATAGTGTTACTCATAATTAAAAGATTTATATTTTATTTTCACGCTGAACGTAGGAACAAACGCATACGGTATGAATTACTTACAGTTACTTTATTTTAGTATATTTCCAGCAAATTTTTAGTAAATAAGTACCATGCTGTTTGACGCTAAAAAATGTGACGTCACAATACACAATCTCGCACGAAATTCATAGAAAACTATCGTTTTTGACAGTTCGAATAAAGTATTGAATTTGACTAGTTGGCAAGTACCGAATTATGAGAATAATTGGTCTGGTAGTTTCAAAGCTTATGTGGTACAAACAACAAATTAATAACATAACATCGCGCCTTTCTTCCCCGAAGGGGTAGGCAGAGGTACACTTAATGCCACTGTACAATCTAACACTCACTTTTCACTATTTATGTTATGAGTCCCATGTAATGGTCATTGGCCGAATGGTCGCAAGTGCGGCAAGGAGTCTTGGGTTCGATTCCCGGGTCGGCCAAAGAATAACTGGATTTTTTCAAAAAGTCAGTAGTAGCTCGGAGCCTGGAATTGTGCCCGGTATATGGCAATAGGCTCACCCGCTATTACATGGGACTCATAACATAAATAGTGGAAAGTGGGTGTTACATTGGACAGTGGCATTAAGTGCTGTAATGTTCACTCTTCGGGGATAAAAGGCGTGATGTTATGTTGTGTAATACTATAAAACAAAATTCATAGATCAGTAAGAGTCGAGCAACGAATGAATCCACACAGGAGTAGCTAGAATTATAAATTAGTATAAAAATGAAGATTTTACTTTCACAGATAAAATACCCAAGTCTCTTCAGTAAACTTTTCCTTAAGGTTAGAGGAATTGGGTCTATTTTACATTAATTTTACTAGTGTAGATATAAATAAGTATATTATAGTTTAATCGCCTAGTTTACCACCTTCATACATGATGTAAATGGGACGCTCCCTAAAAACGTCGACAGGTGATGGTCAAAAAATTACTTATTTTCAAGTAATAACATCGTGGTGGCCCGGGTGTACGTTACCCAGACCAGATGTTGTCGAAAATGGTCATTTGAGTCTTATAGATAATAAATAGTCTGTAATTGTTGCGCACATTTTTATATTTGTTGCGTTTATAGTTTTTTTATTATTTCATAAAAGCATTTCGTGTTGGGGTAACGTTACCCCAGCCAGACCATTTTCTTTGTAATGGGAATATTTAAATAATTGTTAGCTATAAAATTAGTTGTCTAGATGAAGTAAATGTTGTGCCTTATTATGTATTTGTTCTTTCACTTTAAACTTGGTTGCGAAGTTATTCGAGATTCTGCTGGGGTAACAGTTTTGGTTTGGCTAGATCTTTGAAATGGTTAAGCGGATTCTTATCATATTTTGTACACGGCTTCTTGTGAGTTAGTTTGAATTTGTTCTACAATAAAAAAAACAAAATAATACATAGCTTAAAGGTTATTTCATTAAATAGAAAAACACTTCAATTGGTCCCAGCACTCTAACAGCTCTAAAGACTTACTTTAAACGTTATTTTAAAGCTTGCCTTCAAATGTATGTGAAGTTTTATTAGTATCCTGTAAGTATTGAACAAGTTATCATGATATTAATTCTTCACGAGCACGGTCTTGATGCGGGAGGTGTAATTGGCCACTGAATTGGATATATGAACTGAATGTTATGTCAATTATTAGTTGTTTAGTTCAGTTGTATATCAGTAAAATTTCAGATAATGAGATAATACCTACCCACTCTTCAGAGATGAAAGATAGGTCATTTTTTTCAGTATTTATGGATGGATACTAGTGTGACAAAACAATATGAACGATTTATGGATACTTACATTCATGGAATATAAGAAGCCATGTACAAAATATGATAAGAATCCGCTTAACCATGTCAAAGATCTAGATCTAGATCAAGGAAAACCAAGTACGTTATCCCAGTAAAATCTAGAATAACTTCTAAGAACTAATTTTATACCTAGTAATTATTTAAATATTTCCATTACAAAGAAAAAGGCTGGGGTAACGTTACCCCAGCAGGAAATGTTTTTGTGAAATCATTAAAAAACTATAAACGCAACAAATATAAAAATGTGCGCAACAATTACAGAAGCCGCACAACTAATTATCTATAAGATTCAAATGACCATTTTCGACAACATCTGGCCTGGGTAACGCAGACTAATTACGTGAGTAAGCTGAAAAATATAATAATTATGGAAGTATTTTGTGTAATTTAATTATAGAATAGTACATTAATTCAGTGTAGCGTATATTTTCTTTCAAATTTTTAAGATAGCAAAGTAGATTATGTTAATTAAAATTAGGGCTCAGTACTATTGGAATTTTCGAAATCTCATATGTATATTTTGAAGGAATATTGTAATTTACGAAATCTCAAATCTATATTTTAAAATAAAATTGTAATTTTCGAAATCTTAAATCGATATTATGAAAGAATGTTAGAAGTTTCGTAATCTGGTATCTATATTTTAAAGGAATATTAGAATTATCGAAATCATAAATCTATATTTTAAAAGGAAATTGTAACTTTCAAAGTCTTAAATCGGTATTATGAAAGACTGTTAGAATTTTTGAGATCTGGTATCTATATTTTAAAATTAGAATAATAAAATCTTCTATCAATTTGAACACAGGTCCGCGAACCAGACCGCCAGACACTGATAGAGCGTATAGTCTCCTTGCAACGCGCCGCCGCCCGTCGCGCAGAGCGATGTGACTTCTTAGAGGAGCATTCTAAGCAATTGACCGCTGAACTACGGACTAAAGCGAGGTTGTTAAGGCATTTGCTCTGTGAATTACCTGCTGGAGCCGTCGGGTCTAGTCGCCGTGATGATAATAAGGTACGTTAAAAAAGAACTTTAGTATAACCTCTACTAAAATCGTATCTTATACTATTATATGAAGTCGCGGAGGACTTAACGGGTTGCCGGGGCTCCGGCTCGAAGTGCAGGAGTAAGTACGGAGTTTTTAGTCAGAAAGAAACTGACACTCCCTCCCGCCTCACCCAGGCGGGAGCAGTCATTCGATGATTTCCACCCTTAAAATAAAACGACTGCCTCGTTGGCCGAGTGGTCGCAAGTGCGGCAAGGGGTCTTGGATTCGATCCCGGGTCGGGAAAAGTATTACTGGGTTATAAAAAAAATTCTCAGTGGTAGCACGTAGCCTAGAATTGTGCCCGGTAAACGGCAATGGGTTCACCCCCTATTATATAAGACTCGTTAAAATCCGTCGAATAGTTTTTATTTCTATAAGGAACATAGAGACAGACGGACAAATATTTTACTGTTTGCATTTTTGACATTAGTATCGATCACTAATCACCCCCTGGTAGTATTTTGGAAATATATTTCATGTACAGAATTGACCTCTCTACAGTTTTTGGCATTCTCCTTAGTTTAATATACCGAGTGTAAACGGAACGCCCCCGAAAATTTTGCATGACCATAAATGCTGTTCAATTCCAATGAGATTTCTTTGAGTTTTGTACTTCATACTTCAAGAGTCTCGTACTTTTGTCTCCTTTTAACATGTATACTATTGTATATGGCAGAAAGAGATAGCGCGACTAGGCGGCGGTGCAATGGCGGCCGTTTGGGGCGGGGACCCGGGCGGCATTACTGCTGAGCTGTCTCTGGAGATGAACAGACGTCTCCAAGCCGTGCTCGAAGATACACTGCTTAAGAATATCACGCTTAAGGTATGTTATAGTCGGTAGTCAATACTTCAATAGTTAAGAATTTATGCTGTCTATAGTCAAATTACAAATCTATATTATAAATAAAATTAGAATGTTTGAAAGAAATTCCACGGGATGCACGTACGAAGTCGCCGGCAACAGCTAGTTGTCTATAAAATGGCAATAGTTGAAAATGTGTATTTATCTATTTACAGCCATGATCGACCCACTGCAGGGCAAAGGCCTCCCTACCCTCCTTCCACTTCTCTCGATGTAAAGCTTTTTGCGGCCAATCCTTGGCATAGATGTGTAATTCGTTCCGTCCTTTTGGGCCTGCCGCGATGTCTACTGACGTTGTGTGGTGTGCGTTACCCAGGCCAGATGTTGTCGAAAATGGTCATTTGAATCTTATAGATAATTAGTTTTGCGGCTTCTGTAATTGTTGCGCACATTTTTTTTAATGCGTTTATAGTGTTTTAATTATTTCACAAAAACATTTCTCGCTGGGATAACCAACGCAACCTATTGTTCTTTAATTGTGTCTATAATGACGGTACTCAACGAGTTAAGCTATGTATTATTTTGGATTTTTTGTTCCAGAACAAATTTAAACTAATTCCTAAGAAGCTATGTTCAAAATATGATAGGAATCCGTTTAACCATTAAAAGATCTAGAAAATCCAAAAACGTTACCCCAGTAAAATCTAGAATAACTTCTAAGAACTTCATCTAAATAAAGTAAATGTTGTCATTTACTTCATCTAGACAACAAATTTTATCGCTAGAAATTATTTAAATATACCCATTAGAAAGAAAGAGGTCTGGCTGGGGTAACGTTATCCCAGCAAGAAATGTTTTTGTAAAATAATGAAAAAACTATAAACGCAACAAATATAAAAATGTCCGCAACAATTACAGAAGCCGCACAACTAATTATCTATAAGATTCAAATGACCATTTTCGACAACATCTGGCCTGGGTAACGGACACCGTTGAGTGGGCTCCACACAGTAGTAAGTTTTGCCCACTTTCTCGTCTGACATGTGGCACACATGACCAGCCCATTCCACTTCAAACCTGCGGCTTTATGGCTAACGTCAACGAATTTAGTCGTAGAGCGCGCGTGAAAATGCGTATACCGTCTATCTATAGCAAAAAATAGTTAACCAAATTGCAGTCAGACTGCACGGTTAAGCGCAGTAGGTAGGCAACGTGTCAGGCTCGATTTACATATTGTTGTTTCGGGTCTCAGTGTGATATGTATGTGAAATTGTATGTTAGTAAACGCACCTAAGACACGAGAAGATCCTGTTTTTGTCGTGCTTCAACGTGCTTTTAAAGTCCAAACAAAGGACTGGGCCTGGGCCTTTGTTTGAACAGCTCTGATATAGGATATAGGATTATAATAGGAGTGGCTGGCAAAAATTTTTACATAGAGACGAGTGGAAGGAGGGTAGGGAGAACTTTGCCCTGCAGTGGGACGATCATGGCTGAAATATAAAAAAAAAATTGATATGAGATGGGTTATTTTATTTCAGCCGTAAGTATACATAGTTGAACAACAACAGTCAACAGTTGAAAAAAATGTAACTAACTTAAATGGTGAGTTATTATAACATGAAATTAATAAATTTTCAGGAAAACATGGACACGCTCGGCGCCGAAATATCTCGACTAAAAGAACAATTGAAATCTTACGAAAATAAATAAATTAAACTAAATTAATGTTTACTTGTAAATGTATAAAATTTAAGTTTTAATCTTATGTACGGTTGTTGTGCGAAAACTTTCAAAATATAATAAAAAATTATATTTTACTCACGTAGCTGTTTGATGAGGTACCTCGATTGGTTTCGAGTCACGATGGGGGCCCATAGTCGTTATCAGTATTGCGCGACGAACCATAATTAATTTAAATATACACAAAAGAAATAATTTATGTTTGAGTTTTAAAAAAGGATAATTTTATTAAAAACAACAGTTAATTTTGTTTTTTTATTTGATTTTGAGTTTTCGCATAACAATATTAAAACAAGAAAAATATTCCATTTATCAATATTATATATATTGTAATTCGTATGGAACATTCCAGAAAAATGCCAATGAATAATTAAGCCATAATTCCATTTTGTTAAGGTCACTTTTTGAATAAACTTGTCTCATTACGACCTAGTTGGTTAAATGAATATTCTATATATTTTGAAATTCTAATATTTATTAGTGTATAAATGCCCACTGCTGACGAAACGCCTCTTCCTCGCACGGCATTAATCGCCACGCTTGTTCAATGCGAGTTGGCGATTTCATACTTATTATTAAAAATTATAAGCCCAGGTTTCCTCTCGATTTTTCCTTCACCGTTTATCAGTGGTGTCTAAATTATCTTAAAAAGTATTCCCAAGTATCACTACATAGTATAAAACAAAGTCGCTATCCGCCGTCTGTCTGTCCCTATGTATGCTTAGGTCTTTAAAACTACGCAACGGATTTTGATGCGGTTTTTTTAATAGACAGAAGGTTTATATGTTTAATACATGCATATTGCATCCGCGCGAAGCCGGGGCGGGTCGCTGGTATATATATCTTTATATAATTCTGCTGTGCGTGTGTATGTCATTGAACTCCTCCTGAATGGCTTGACCGTCTTCCGTCTTCTGTATGCGTTTGACTGGGGCTCTAGATAGTATAGATTCACAAATCAGCCCGGCGTTGGCGATGGCGTTATTGGTCTTTCCTTTTTTATTACCCTTATCGCTTGAAATATCATAATATGCATGACAACGTCTATCGGGTCCACTAGTATATATATATGTATATATATGTATATATATATATATGCAAAATTCCAACAAAAAATGCTTGAATTAATAAAACGTACAGAATGAACAAAGTGAATTTCGCATTTATAATGTAAAAAATGTTAATATAAATGTTCAAAAAGGTGACCTGCTATTTTTAAAGGAAGTAAATTACACTCTAATGTTAAATTATTCGAAATTAAAATTATTTATTGTACTTATAAAATTGTCATTTAAACTTTAAATATATGTCGGAGAAAATGCACCAATTGGGGGTACTTCGTCATCGGATTCGTCGTAAACGCGGTAAGTTCGGTACGGGCTGGCCGAACAACCGCTCACCCTCGTGTCCAACTCAAAAGTGACGCCTGTCAAATGTCAACATGCCACGCCCCGTACCGACCATCACCCAAGCACACTGCTTGACGTTTCCGACAAATGATAACAGATGGCGTTGTTCTAAAATAACGATACTCGATAGTTGTGCATCTTTGTTGATTCTGCGACATATATATATATATAT